ACTCATATTTGTGACATATATTTCATAGAATATTGTGATATATATTTAAGCATAGAATGAAATACTCGAAGTCGTTGACACCCAGTCCTGTAAATCAAGCAAACTTCTTCTTTTATTCAGTGTCATTGTTTTTAATTGTGTATGTGGGTCTCCTAGATTTCAGAATAATTGTAACAGTCTGAGTGCCTGAGTTTGCAAGGACAGGTGATGTTCCCTTTGAGTGCCAGGCTGCACACACATGACAAGGTACAATCCTCAGAGGGATAGACTTGTAAAAGTCACTTTCTTTGGGACTTTAGGGGCTCTTACTAAAGTTAAACAGATACATGGGCTTTTTGATAAATGTTTTTGGACCACACCCAGTGGTGTTCAAGCCTTATTTCTGCCTCTATACTCATGTATCACTCCGGGTTGTGCTTGGAGGACCATAGGTGGTGCTGGGGATTGAGCTAGCATTGACCACATGAAGGGGAGTGCCTTAACCTCTGTATTGTCTCTATAACCTGATAGAGGGACTTTGAAGTAACACTTGATGTCTTTACTGTTAGCAATAATAATGATGAGCTGGTGAGGAAAATCAGCAGCAGGGGCTGAAAAAATGAGCTTAGCTAGAAGCCCTAGCTAAAATTTAGAGATCATATACTATGAATGGGCTGGAGCAATAGAACAGTGTTTACGGTGTTTGCCTTGCAGGGCGGCCCACCCGGTTCGATTCCTCCACCCCTTTCTGAGAGCCTGGCAAGCTACCGAGAGTATCTCGCTCGCATGGCAAAGTCTGGCAAGGTACCTGTGACATATTCGATATGCCAAACACAGTAAGTAACAAGTCTCACAATGGAGATGTTACTGGTCCCTCTTGAGCAAATTGATGAACAACGGGAATACAGTGCTACAGTGCATACTATGAATTGAAATGGGATGCATGGGTCTGGATGGAAGTCCCAGATTTAGTTCCTGGTGTGGGTGGTTAGGAGCTCTTTTATTCTCTTACTTAGTAGGACAAGGTTCAATTCAGGAGGGTGTGAAGGGGAGAATTTTAAGGTCACCAATGCCCACCTCCACCACTCCAGAAAAGTTGCAGTATATGGCATCAGGCCATTTGGTTATGAACACATAAGAACTGCCAGTGTGAACTGAGATCTACAATGCTGTAGCATAGGACAAATATTCTTAGAATATAATGAAATAACATCCCAGGTAGATGCATGCTGAAAGTAGACTATGAACCAAACATGATGGGCGCTTAGTACCTGTATTGCAAACTATAACACCCAGAAGGAGAGAGAGAGTAAGAGGGAATGTGCCTGCCACAGATACAGGGGGAAAGGGGTGGGGGTGGTGGGAGGGATACTGAGAACATTGGTGGTGGAGAATGGGCACTGGTGGAGGGATGGGTGCTCCATCATTGTATGACTGAAACATAATCACGCAAGTTTGTAAGTCAGTAACTGTATCACACAGTGATTCATTAAATTAAATAAAGAAAAAGAAATTGACTAATTAATTAACACACACACAAAAGAGAAGTGAAATAGAGCAGATGGTAGTACAAGTTCAAATCTACAGACTTGCAGAGATCTTACATGCATATATAGCAACTCTTCATGCCTTGTGCAGGCAAGTTCGTTATTGGTATGAGAGAAAACAAGTCAAAGAAGCCGTTTCTGTAAGGCTGAAACACTGCTGACTGGGTTTCATCCCCAGCACCCCATCCCCATTTGGTCTCCCAAGCACACTGAGTGATCTCTGAGTTCAAAGCCTATAGTAACCCCTGAGTAAAGCTGTTGTGGCCCACAAGCAACCAAAACAAAACAAAAAAGCATTCTTGCTAAAGTAAGGAGTGCCCATTTCTGTCACCAAAAATTTCTGTAGAACAAGATGAAACTCTTTATGAATGGTTGATATTAATATAGGTAAACCTGATTCCTGATTATCAGCCAACAGAGAGGGGATCATATACCTTGAAAGTGTGCTATTAATTTTAATGACTCTTTAGTTTTGGCCCCAAACCCTGGAGACTCTGGAGTAGTGGGGATTGAACTCAGGTCATCATCTGTAAAAAACTAAACACGCAGAAGATTGTGTGTTCCTGGGCACTCTGGACAGCTCTATCTCACCACCCTCGTTCAGTGCCTTAGAGCCGCTGTGTGTGGCCTGGATCCGGACGGCTGTTGGCCAAGGGCAGACGAAGGAAGAGACAAGGGCCAGGCCAGTTGATCTTAGTAGCAGTTTATTACAAGGAAGTTTATCCCATAGAAGAAATTTATGTTACAGAGGGCCTAGTTTCTCTCAAGCACACATTCCCCTTGCTAGACTCTCTGTGGTCCATCTTGCAGCCCTGCTCTCTCTCTCTCCAGCTCCCTTCTCTCTCCAACTCCCTTGCAGTCTGGGCTTTCACTCCACCCAGTCAGGTGACCAAATCAACATAAGAAAGGAATTCCTGAGGGCCCACAAAGCCCTTCCTGCCTGCCCCAGGCAAAATATCTCCTTAAGGTGTTTTTCTCTTTACCTCAGTCTAATAAACTATCAATAAACTATCAACTATTCCTGAGGCTATGCAGGAAGGGCAGAACAGTGTTATCCTACAATCATCCTGTAAGGCGAGCACCTTGCCTGCTGTGCTATCTCTCCAGATTCAGAAAAAGGCAAGTTTTTAATACAAAGAGCTGTATTTAGAAGCATCAGGATCATCCACAGGTCTCTACTCTCATCCCCTTTACTAGTCAGGTAGAAAGTGAAATAGTCAAAGGTATCAAGAAGAAAACTGAAAAAAGAGGAGCTAGTCTCCCATTCCCCAGCAGGAAGTCTGCCAGTACATCTGAGTGATAGCTGTAACTCTTGACCCAGCACTACAGGGCTTGCCCTGAACACCACCAGAAAGAATATTGTTAAGAGTTGCCTAAGGGCCCTTGGAGCCTCTGGGATTGCCCCTACAAGAAAAAAGATGCCTAGAAGGAGCCCTAACATTTTTCTTAAAAATATATAAATATAACTGGGAGATATTAATGCCACTGGGATACTTGTACTTGGAAGATATGCCAGAGGAGGGAAGGAAGAAAGGAGGAAGAGAAGAAAGCAGGCAGGCAGGAAGGCAGGCAGGAAAGCTTCATAATGCTGAAAGCAACGGGATTGAACTCCTTTCTCTCAAGTTCTGGTTTTGATGCTTTTACCATGAATTTCCAAATAACATGAGGGATATTTGTGTATTCCACTGTCAGCTTTGAGAGTGTAATGTTTCTAGTTGTCAATGAAAGAGGAACATTTTCTTCTTTTTGCCTCTATATGGACTCTCATGCTATGCAACTTCCCATTATTTAGAAAACAAAAAGTATCATAGGTTCTGTCTGCATTGAATGCTTGGGCACTGTGCTTTAGACATGACTTCTGTCTGGCTTCCAGTGCACTTAGTTAAACCATAGCTTTTAAAATGCTGATCATATCAGCCACGGCTCTCAGAACACCAGCTCTGCCCTGGGAGGAGCATGAGACATAATGTGGGATTTCTGCCCAGAAGCCTGCGCAGTGGGAGATTCATTTCCCACAAAACAAAACAAATTTCATTTAAGGTCTGAATCTGACAGTAAAGCCCTATGCTCAGGATCCCCAGAGGCCAAGGTCATGTTTTCTAATTAGTGATGCAAATTGAAAACGGAAGCAGGTGGCTTAACAAGTTTGCCATATGAATGTCAAGAAAAATTAAATAAATAAAGGTTTCCTTAAGCTAGCAAGCATCCTCAGTAATTTGAATCTATTAGAAAAAGAAACAGAAATCTCTCTGGATAATGTGTTTGTACATTTTGTTTATGTATATTACAAATTCTGTATCATACTTTATACTAGCACTATCAGCTTGGCTTTGACCATTCAATTTCTATTTTTATGTTTTTGGAGTCACATCTGGCAGTGTTAAAAGCTTACTCTTGGTTCTGCAATCAGGGCTCATTCTTGGTGGGACCTCGGGGTCCATATAGGGTGTCAGGGACAGAACCCTTGTCGGTCATATGCAAGGCAAGTACCTTATCTGCTGTACTGTGTCTCCATTCAGTCTCTAGATCAGCTTTGAAATATATAATTATATATATATTATATTAACGATCTTGAAAATTGTGCTTTCACTGTGCTTAGGTTGAGTGTTGGTGTCTCCCCTTCCCCAACTTCACATATCTTTCTAATCTCTAGTGTAGTGCTAGCTATTTGGAGATAGATTCTTTAGAAAGCAATTAGGGTTGAATGAGATTATGAGGATAGGACCATCATCATGATTAGAGGCATTAAGAAAGAGGAAGAGAGAGAGAGAGAGAGAGAGAGAGAGAGAGAGAGAGAGAGAGAGAGAGAATTTCCATGGGCTTGCAAGGGCCCAAGCAAAGGTCTTGCCGGAACACAGAAGGAAGCCTGCTGCAAGCAAGAAGCCCAGAAAACAAGTCAGGAAAACCCCTTCTTCTCACCTTCGGAACTATGAGAAAATAAATAAATGCCTGTTGCTTTAATCACTCAGCCTTAGTGTTTCTTAGGTCAAGATGACAGGATCACTGTTGAAGCAGCAGCTAATGACGAATTTTCTCACCACTGTGATTGATGGATTCCATTTCTTAGTCTTTATGTTTATTTCCGTTCATAAATTATGCTATGCACAAATAGTATCTGTCCATTTTCACTACATTCTTAATGAGATTCTCAATAGAGCAGATTGGAGACAGGAGCTCCGAGGCTGGCTTGGCTGGTTCAGACTCCAACTTTTCCACTTTTGAGCTGTCTGTTCATTAGTGACTGATAACTTTTATTTGAACCTCAGTTTCCACTCTGAAAATAAATGATAGTAACATGTGACAGAGTGGCTAGGGCACACCTGACATTATCTGTGTATTAATATAAACTGTTCAAGGATTCTACTCATGGTGTCTCTCATGCAGATGTTTATGTCTAAGAGAGTGTATCTTCAATACACTCACTTCTGCAAGCCCCAAATTTCTCACAGATAACAATGATGACTTTCTGCCTAGGAGTCCTTGCCAACAATGGAAGACAACTCAGCTCCTATGGGGACAAGCTACCATGACCAAATAGTGGAGACTCCAAAAGCAGCTCCAGTAATGGACAGTGAGTTGGTATAGAAGTGCTGTAGTTCCCTAGTTCCTCAATTTAAATAATTCTGAGTTTTTATTCTACATTGTCTTCTTGGCTTCAGCTGCCTGCAGCAGACACAGGCTTAATAGACCACACTTTCTTATGGGTTCTCTCTACTTCCCACCTCATTTACCTCCACCTGTCCAATGTTTTCTGGAGCCATCTCCCTAACTATTTAAACTCCAATCGGTCCTGTTAACAGGAAAATTCCAAGCATCAGCAGCAGGGACACAAGAATCATAGCTCTATTGAACTGGAAGGCCAGTGGGGAGTATGCACCTCTTTCTAAGTGAATTCTGCCCAAGATGAGTGGAGCATTCGCCATGTCTGACTGGGAAGCAGTGCCCTCTACTAAGTGGCTTTGCTGGAGCACTGCTGCTGCCACTCTGATTCATACTATGTTTAAGCCTTTTAGTGTGAATCACATTCCAGGCTTTGATAGACTCTCTCCAGTTCCTTACAAATGAAATCTTCTATACAATCTAATCGGAAAGAACACAACTTTCAAAACAATCATTCATTTGTCTCCAACTACAATTTTAGTCACTCTTAAGAGCAAGCATTATTTCTAAGATGTCTTATTTAAAACTTCTAAGGAACAATCTGATTTTCTTTTCCAAATCAATTGTTTTTCCATCACAGTAAATTGAAATGTGACCTCTGGTAAAGAAGTTATGAAGCCCCTGAGAGTGTCCTCTGTCACTAAAGATAATAAATTGCAGAGGTCTCTGAAATAAGGGAAAACATCAGAAACTATTATTTATAAATTGTCTTCAGATATACACTTCTTTTGTACTTGGAAAGGACCTTCAAGAGAGTTATGTCTTTGTGTTTACTTGTATTTTGTGACTTTAAAATGAGACTTGTTAAGTTTTTTTGGATGTGAACATTGACAAAATTATGTGCAGTGTTCCTTTCAAAGTCATAGTATTATCCATATGATCCCCTTGCTTTCCAAAATTAGGGGATCATTTATCCTCAATGTGTGAGTGGTTTTTTGTCCCAGATTCATGGTAAAGGTTTTGGGAGCTCTGCTATCTTCAGTGGATGCTTCTAAGAATATAGGATCCTCTTCCTTTTTTCTCAGCTCCTTCTTCTTGAGGTCTGTGCAGCAAGTTCCCTTCTATCTCCTGAATAATGGTTGCTTAGGATGGAAATCTACCTGAATAAAAACAGATTGCTTATCCATGGTGTTTATCACCCAGCATTTTGAAAAAACTCAGCACTACAGAAAGATTGGCTAACAAACTAAATACATGTGATGCTTGCAGGTTAAGGGGAAAGTTTCAGGAGAGACCAGTATCCTGATCTATCTATCTATCTATCTATCTATCTATCTATCTATCTATCTATCTATAATATATACACATTTAATGTCCAGAACTGGCTGTAAGTGCATCAGCAGCACTGAAAAGAGGGAAACACAGTCAGAAACATGACTCATAGTGTCCAAGTGTAAAAATAGACCATAAGAAGCTCATCTATTTCTGTTACTGAGACAAGATAGAAAGTTCTCATTGAAGCAACGCTGTACTGTAATGAACAGAATCTCCCTGAAATGCCACTGGGACTGCCTTCTGCACCATGCCTTCCATCTCCCTTACCTTTCCACCTAGTCCATCACTCTTACCTACAAAAATATCTCATGAAACTCACTATCTACCTTCCATATTTAAGTGAAGCAAAAGCTTCACACAAACAGAGACTTCTGGCTGATTCCCCAACATTCCTCCAGCCCTGAGAAAGGCAGAATAGCACATAGGTTAGGGCAGGTATCTATATTTATTAAATGAATTATTTAAGCAATTTTATTTAAGCCTTGTTTCTTACAAAGCAGGATACAATTAAGAGTAGTTTTATGTTATCCAGACATTCTTGGAATATCTCTGATGATCTGTCCCTGTGCAACATAATTTTTGGTATATGTCATCTAGTGATTAAATAAAGGTGCACATAAAAACCCACATGCATGACAAAGATATTTAAGTGAATACATCGAAATAAAATAGGATGAGAGTGGATCAAAATGAAGAAGCTCATGCAAACCAGATGGGTTTATCCTAAAACTCCCCATGAATTGGTTAGTCTGGTTGAATATCTGTGGACCCAGTGGGATACTTGAGAGCTGAGTTCCTGAGTTTAACTTTTAATGCTTTGGAGCAGAAAAGTACTTAAATTTCAGAGATTTCAGATTTTTTTGAGTGAATCAAGATCTAAGTGGGAAATCTGTACTTCATGAAAATTAGCTTTTAGTTTTAAAAAGTGATTAGAGAACAGAAAGTTTTCTTTGCTGTGGTTTGTGGGGAAGATGGATCAAGAAATTGAAATTATTAAGCAGGGACTGTCTTATGTTAGTACTCATGGGTTATGGAAAAGACTTTGGTCTGTACCCCAGGTATAATGTCACTGGAGGAATTTACACTGGAATGTCTGAAGAGCAATGGAATTTCTGGCTCAAATTGTAATTGTTACATTGGAAATAGCAGTGGGAGGGAACAGTGTTGGAGTAGCCTGAGTGGCAGCTGACAATATTTTTGACTGAAATAGACTGAAGAATCAGCAGGATTGTTAAGATTACATTTTGCTGCATAGGAGTAGGTGATGGCTAAGACAGTCTCTCTGGAGCTGCACAGGTTGATAGGAATTGGAGGAGGACAGTTCACAGTCAGGGATTTACAGGGTTTGGAGAATCAACAGAATTTGGTGCATGTTCAATTTGAAATTTTTGAAAAATTAAGATTCTGTTGGATTTGTTGATCACTGGAACTTGATTATTGGCACCAGAGGCTATAAGATTATTAATAAGTAATTTAAGTTCAACACTGAGCAGAGGAGGATGATCTGCAATGAGTGAGTGGGAATACCTGGATAGGGGAGCCTGAACAGCAGGAGAAGGTATACTCAGGGAGTCATGGGGGATATTACCTCCAAAAGAAGGAAGTTGCTGTGGGATGGGGGGATGGGGGGTGGGAGGGAAAATTAAAAGAAAAAAAAAGGAAGTTGTCAATGAGTCACAGGTTTTTGAGAGGTTAGTCATGATGATCTGTGAAAAATTTCTTGTGGGCTCATATTAAGACCATAGTTTTTTACATGAAGTGGAGGGCCATGACATGGCCCTGTAATCAAACTGAGTTTCTACATATCCTTCTCCTAGATCTGATAGTCACTCAACCTTGTGACTAAAAATTAGTGAATTTCAGGCATCCTCATCTCTTTCTTAATACCTTGACATTGCTTGTACTAATATTGCATTATTTTTAAAATTTGAATTTAATAGGCTCTCAGGTTTCTTAGCCCATGTTTGTTTCATAATTCACTTCACTAACCTGGTTAGAGTATTTCTGCTGACTGGAGAAACTTCTCAGCATTCTCCTTAGGAGACTATGTCTTAGGCATCAGAGTGCAGTATAGCTTGTGAATTCTAGAATTAGAAATTTAAGTGCAAGGTAAGGGGTTAGAGCATACCTTTAGAACTAGAAAGTTTTCTTTTGTTTGGGGGATTGGGAGGGAGTTGTGCCACACCCACTGGTTCTCAGGCTTCTGCTTGATCTGTACTCAGAGATCACTCCTGGGAGTTCTGGGAAACCATATGAAATTCCAGGATTTCATGTCATGGTCAGCTTACCCCTTGCAGTGCCTCTCTGGTCCCAGGAAACACATTTTTAAAAGTCTGAAGAGAGTTAAATGTTATTAAATCATTCATATTCAATATTTCTTAAGTGAGTGTTGTCTAATTCTCCATATTCTGAAAAACCTATGGTTTAGTACACAATCAGAGGCAGGTTTTAAATTGACTTGTTAGACGGAGGTGCTTTTTTATACCAGAATCACAGTGTAAGTCCCATATTAGCAGGGCTGTAATGGAATCTTAAATATTGACCCTAAGGCTTGGGGTCTGACATAACTATCTTCATCATCAAGATGCCTTGGTCTTTCCAAAATACTTTCTTTCAGCCTCACCAGGTTCTATTCATAAACAACCTTGACAGAAAGTATGATTTTCTATTTTTTGGTTAAATAGTTAACTAAGCTAACAAAGCTGTACCTGGAACCATGTGAATTGTCCAGTGCTACCAGGAAAGGGCCCACCAATCCGGAATCCCTATTTTGAGCAAGTTTTAAGATCAATGGCACATTGGATAAGGGATGGTTAAGCCTTTATTTAAAACATGCCATTTGCCCAAGCAGAAGCACTCCCACAAATTCAGAGAAGGAAGATATAAGTGAGATAACACATTCAAGTTGTTAAGAAATCAAGTTTAGGAGATAAAAATGCTCCCTTCCCCCAATGTCATGGGAACGAAACAACATTTTCCTGATACCACCAGTGTTAAAGGTATCCAGTATTCTGAAAAAATGTTACATTATCCTTTGGAAATTGGGAAAATATGACCTCAAATCCTAAACTTGAGAATATTTAACATTAACTGGGTAGAACATTAGCAAATATCAAAAATGTTCCTTATCTGGAAGATCCAAAATGACCTGATTACTAGAGAGGAAATATCCCTTTAGGTATAGCCCAGAGATTGTCCTCACCTGGCAAAAAGGGCCTGTTGGTCTCACTGCCGCTTGTTTAGTCTCTTCCCATGACTTCCAGGCCAGTGGCTTTTCCCAGATCTTCAAAGTCAAGTCATCATGTGTCTCAGAGACCATACTAGTTCCAGACTTGACAATGATTGCACCTTATTGATCCTAAATTACATATGAAGGGCAGATACAAGTGAGCAAAAGAATGAAATTGGGCTGAAGATAGGCAGCCTGTAGTATGTTTCCTCCTTCAATTTGGTGGGTATAAAGGATAAAGGAGGAACTGGTCTAGAGACTTCTGAGGCAGAAATTTGGGTTCAGGTATACTTTTGTGGGAAGTGATTGCAGGCAGCACAGGAAGTTGGAGTGTGGTATGAGCAGAAAGGAAGGGTAGCCTGTTGGTGCTTGCTTCATTTCTTAAAGTATCATGCTCACAATGATAG